ATATGTGCCTTAGCCTAGCTTATTCTAAAATTAATTCCTATTCCTAACGTTCGTATAAATTAATCAGCTATACAAAGAAAATTAAAAAAAAGTAACATAATGAAGATTAAACCTAAATTTCACCATATTTTAAAACGGTTTAATGTTTCTAATACTGGAAACTGTAGGTACTTAAAACCCGAATTTCGCTTGCACTCTGAATTGAAAACAACTCCCAATTGCTTGGCATTCTTGCAGAAAGAGCGACCTGTGAAGAGTTCAAACATAACGTATGCAAGTGCCTATTGTAGCTCCAAATTCGATTGCGCATACATACTATCGTATAACTTGGATTAAACCACTGGACGTTTAAGAGCATTTGTTTTAGTCAACTTCGACAACGTTGGGAAAAACTGGAACGAATTTTTCTGTTTCAAACTGGGGTTTTAGATGTTGATTTATCATTTAACAGATTTCTAAAATATTTTGTACATCATTATTATTGTCCTTATCGAAATAAAATCCTTTCTTTTTACGTCATCAATGTGCCATGAAGGTGGAGTTCGCTTGTGACCTTCTTAACTAGTTTTGATTAATTTAATAAGGTAGGACACCATGAAATCCAGGCCAGGCTGGAATAACGCTGAAAGTATTCCCTTCCACCTGCCGGCTGGAACGATAAAAATGAGTTAACTGCTTCTTTAAATCTTTTAAATGAGTAGATGGGGCTTTTCGTATCTGCCCGCAGGCAATTTTAAAATCCTAAAAAAGTAGTAGATTAGACTTAGGCTTGCTGATGAAGGCTAATAAGTTGAAAACGTTTCATATATTGCTTTTGCTTGCTTACTGGTCTTTTCCTACTTAATCTCAGCTATACGACAGCTTTAATTTTGATTCCGTATCATTTTTAAATAAGGGCACTTAGATAAATTAATTCAAGTTTATATTATTCATTAAATAATACGGGTAAATAACGCCTTTAATCCACGTTTAGGGCACTTAAAAGATGCTTAAAAATTATCTGAGTCCTTTGGGAATACCTCGAATTTATCTGGTTGATTTTTTGCGTGTTTGCACCTCATTAAGAGTACCACGCCTAAAATTTGCATTGATAAAACAATCAAGTCGAAAGGCAAACGCATGTATATTTAGGCAGTGGGTTGCGCTTTACAAATTGGAAAGCACTGATATTAAAAGTATAAAA